TTCTTTTCTGTTCTGTTCACTAGTTTGTTGTATTTTTTAAAATTCCGCATGTAACTGATATCTTACAGTATTTGTCTTTGTCTGATTTATTTCACATAGCATAATTCCCTCCAAGTCCATCCATGGTGTACACCAGAAACTAATACAACATTTTAAATAAACTGTATAGAAATACTACCACTTTTTTAAAAATTATATCTGCCCATAGTTTCTAATAGTTTTTTCTTTCCCATCATAACTGAGGGTGTAATGGACTAAAATCAGTAAGAGAGGTCACTTGAAGGTGCTTCTCAGCAAGGAAGGGGCAATCTCCTCCACCTTGTGGACCATTGTCTTAGACAATATACATTGAATAAATGAATGATTAGTAGCTAAGTTTTATAATGATAGAAGAAGGGAAATTCCATTGGCTATTCATATAACAATTGGAGCTAAAACTGAATGGTTAGTAATTGGCTGATAAATTATTTTAAAGTAACTTTAGCCCACTTCTAGAGTAAATTCATTACAAATTTCTTTACATTACTAAATATGAAAAGCTGTATCTTGAAAATGAGTGTTGTTTACAGCAGAAGCTGAAATTGTTTTTAATCCTGTTAGTAGCATTAGGAGATTAAGATACATTATTTTGTCATTTGAAGTGAATGAAATGTTGAAATGTTTTAACAAAAAAATTTTGATTAATCTTGTAAATCACAATATAGAAACATGTAAATTGCTGAATACTTCCATCTTGAAATTATGGAGTATTTATTATAATTTTATTTTTACAGCTTTGCAAAAAACTCGGTGGCTCATGTGTCACAGCATTGGATGGTTATTATGTGGAATCCATTATTTGTGTTTTTATTGGATTTGGTTGGTGGTTCTTTCTTGGTCCAAAACTTAAAAAGTTACAGGATGAAGGACCATCTTCATGGAAGTGCAAAAGAAGCAAGTAATAACATTCACTACTGGACATTCTAGAAAGGTAACTATAGTCTAGTTTTAACTCAGAGAGCTATGATAATCAGTGTACAGGAGTATAAAATATTACTTTAAACAGGAAATTATTAATATAAAATGCCAAATGGTTAAAAAATAGAGACCTCTCTGTATATTTGATTTTATTTTTTCCTTGCCTTGTCATTGTATTTCACGTTTACTTCAGGTCAGGAAATTGGTACTAAAACAACTTTTCTGGCTTTGTTATTTGATTTATACCTTTGTAATTTACTGACCAAAGCATGTTTTAAACTGCAATGCAGTAGTCATGGGCGGTAACCATGCAGTCAAGTATTGTTATCAGTACCTGTCATTGAGCTATATTTAAATGTTTGGAAAAAATATATTAAATGGAACAGAGCTTGATATTCAGATAGTAACTACACCTAGTCTAGCCTTGTTGGGCAGTTAAATCTTATTTTGAGTTGCAAATTGGTTAAATTGTATGTGGAATTTGCTGAAAAGAGAATGTAAACCACTGAAATGCCATTTTAGTTGTTATTTTTCTGATCATAACCACATTATACTAATGAATCTGTGTTAAAAAAAACATTTTAAATGTATTTCCTGCTTTTGTGAGCAGTAAAGATTTATAAGATTATTCAAACTATTTTTTTATAAAATGAAAACTATGATTTTTAATTTATTAACTCCCCTGCCCACCCTCTTTTTGGAAGATATTTTGATTCCTTGTTAACTTTTACCCTAAAGCTTACATATTTTTTTTGTCATCAGTGCTTCATGGCACATGGACAGCTCTTGAGGGGGTCAAATTTAATGTTGTATGTATGTTCATGGCAAAGTTTTGAAAATAAAAAACGTTTTTCTTCAAGTAGTTTTTTTTTATTACTGAAAGAGAAAAAACAGTAAAACTTTCTGATTAAGTAAAATTTAAATGAATAATACTATAATTTTAGAAACGAATACTTAGACAAAGACATTTTGAGCCTTTGACAAATTACATGGTGGAAAAGATTTTCTTAATTAAGCACTTTACTAATGTGAAAACATCTCAGAATTACTTTATATCAAATTAGGTACTGTTTTCCCACTTATTAAAACATAACCTTCTGTTTGTAAACTATAATTTCCGGTGGAGAATTGCTATCCCAGGAGACTTAAGCTTTGGAGTAATTTAGCAATTTGCAACATATTATATGTACCTGATAATAAGGTTCTTCATGTATTTTGTGTTATATAATACTCTGACTCTTTAGAGGCTATATAAATCTTTCAAAAGGTAGAGAAAAAGGAAGATGACTCTTATTTAATAATTATTATCTTTGTGGGAACATACATACTAATGTATGATTTTGTTAATTTTAATAACATAGGTTGAATTTTAGAGTGGGGTTTTTACAAATAATGGAGGATAAAATGGGTGGGAGAAAATGTTACTCAGCATCTGAAGAAAAGATAGAGGCAGTGGCTTCTAGAACTCATACATTGTCATTGGAGAGCCTGTGTTGGGCATCAGTGTCACATCCTGAAGAATCACCTGGAAAAGCATCCCAGAGACAAGAAGGTCACACCAAACCATAGACTACAGTGCTTTGTCACATGGGTTGTCCATTATCATGTATTATACTCAGAATGTTTACTTGAATAAAGAAAACCCACTTAACTCATATATGACATGTATTTTGATGTTTAATTTTTGGATTAAGAAGCTCACATTGCCATAATTAACTTTATTTTTCCCCACATTATTGCAAATTATACATACTTTCAAACATACTTAAGACTACAAATCATTAATGACCTAAAGCTTTAAAACATATTTTAAGCCTTAACTGTAAAGTGAAAGCCATGTATTGCTTTTGCCCTAGAAATGAATAATTGTTTTGAATTATAGTCATTTGGTTACTTGGGTACATGCTTGTAATACATGCCAAAAGTGATGTGTTAATATCAGTGTTGCGTACGTTGATCATTGATGGTGTCTTACAAATGATCTACCTTAATGTGAGGATCTGTTTGCTATAAATCTACTAGAGAATACTGCTATTTTTGTGTGTGAGTGTTTTTCCTTACTGATAGATCCTGATAAACTCTACCCTCAAGTATGAATATTAATTTTCCAGTTAATGTATCATATCATTACTGGCTAGTATTGGATATAAACATATATCTCTTTATGTCAGTATTTCTGTCTGCACATTGGTTGCAACATATATAAATCTAAAATGAGTTTGAAAAGTTCTTATAAGATTAGTTAAGACTAAAAACTCCCTCCTCTCTGAATATTTTAATTTTGCCTAATCAATCATAAAAAATGTGTTCAACATCTAAAATAGATTTCTCTATTTTTAAAAAATATTAAACCTTTGAAATCTAAACCTACAATCTAAACCTATTGATTTCATCCCTGTATGGCAAGGATTTTTATCCTAAACAGATGTCAGTGGGACCTTGAAACCCCTGAATTAATTGCAAAACTCTGGAGAATAATTTGTTTTTCTGGAGAGCGTTCTCATTAAAATATTAAACAGGCTGTGATCCAGAAAAATGTACAAGCCATGGCCTTATTGAATATGAGCTGTACTATGAATTTTAAACATATATTTGAGATAATAGTTGTGAAACTAATTGTTTAAAGCATCTTGAAAACCTTGTTAAAAGGAAAATCTATGATGAAAACTAGAGAATCTCTGCCTTTGTAGTACTGAACTTGAATCTTGAAGGGATTAGAGCGGATAAAACTTTATTGGTAGAAGAAGGATGTAAGGGCAAATGACACCCCACAAAAGACAGATCTTAGTCATTTAATCCTATTTTGCTATGTTAACAGAAATCTAAAATGTACCTTTTATATTAAATGGTTGAGATCATTATTTAATATAATGTAAGACCAGATTTGTTTTTGTATTTGGGAGGGGATCATGTCTTTTCATGTATTTGAAAGGATGAGTAAAACTATATAACATAGACCCTGCTAAAAACAAAGAACCAATTTGTTGAGAACATTTCATGCAGATTTCCCAAATGTATTCTACTTAAATATTAAAGAAAGAGAATAAGCTTTAAAAAATAATTTCCTAGTAAATAGGATTAATATATTTGATAGCCATTTTAGTTACAGAAGAGAAGGTGATATGCATTGTAGTTACTGAGACTTTTTTTAACCAATGTCTTTGGTAGATAATAAGGTAGATTATTTGATTTTTTCGTAGAAGATTGAAAGTACCTATTATAGACCAAGTTCTTTTTTTTTTTGTATATACATATATATTTTTATTGAAGTATAGTCAGTTTACAATGTTGTGTCAAGACCATGTTCTTTTGCACTTCAGTTTAATCTCTGCCTGATTTGACAGTGTCAGTTTTTTAATGTAATCACTATTTAGTTTGAGGCTGAGAGCCTTCCCATTTCCTACCTGTCACAACTACTATTAGAGTCTTCATTTTAGTCCTCTAAATTGTTAGCAAGGTAGAATGGGCCGGGAGAGCTAGTATTCCTTTCTGGGATTCTGTTTTGGTAGAAGCAAGTCCTGTATCAGGGCAAAATAGTTAATGTACAGGTCTCATGCTGTCTCCTTTAAGTGAAGAGAACTATTTGACTATTGGATTATAAAGGTTGCTTTTAAGGAGGTTTGTTTATTTTTTTAGTTGTTTTTTTTCTCACCATGGTGGGGGCAAACATTTTGCAGGAGAAAATAGTTTTAGGTAGCAGAATGAAAATTTTATGATTAATCTTAGTTCCTCTTTTTAAAGTGTAATTTAAAAGATCATCTTAAAATATCAACAATGTTAATTGCATAGTTCATATGAAGTCATCAAGGATCATTGAGGTAAAGCATTACTACATTTTAATACTTTTCTGTTGTCAATTAGACATAACTTTTTATAACAATTTCTGTGGAGAATAATGATTAAATAACATAACGGAAATGAATAAGATACTGGTATAATTCTTAGGGAATTACCATAAGTTTCTAAGCTTTAGCACGTTGGTTACAACTAAATCAGTTACTGTTAGAAGATACTAATATTAAAGCCTATTCTTTTCATCAAAATTACCTTTAATGTTGGGGAAAGTTTATTTTTTATAGTCTTATAGTTAATGAAATTGAAATTTTTTATTACATGCAACTATAAAATTAGGAAAATATGAAATTGGGACAAAAGTTTGATGTTTTAAAAAGTTAGTTTGGCATATTTGATAAATTGATAGATTACCATTGTCAGGTTATACCAGTGAGTATATCCATTGTTGCCCTCAGATAATACCTTTGCAAGGGTTAGTGTAAAATTGAAAAAACTACTCAATGTTGAAAGGTGTCATTGTTGAGGTTTTTATGAAATCATTGCACCCAGGTACAGTTTTGAATTAAAATTAGACAATCCAAAATAATCTATTAGCTCTTTTGGAAGATCTAGCATAGCTTTGATAGTTTAACATTATTATTTAAGTGTTTTAGTATATGTGAAATGTTCATTTGTTTATTAAAATATGTTCATTGAAGCTTGATATTTATGCAGTGTTTAAATATTTGGAGTATATTTGAAATAATTCCTTTAGATTTTTTTATATGCATAAAATGATTATTTAACAATCAATCTCTAAAAAATAAAACATTAATGAAAGATTCTTGTTTTCATTTTTATAAAGTAATAATGAAATTTACCTTAAATAATTCATGTCAAAGTTATATTAGCTTCATGTTATATAATTAAAAACTATAAATATGATGGGATTATATGAAACCATTGTGAAACTTGAAAATTGTAAAGCACTATAGAATTTAAAGAATCTTTCATTCAATTAAAAAAACAAATACAGTAATTTCAAGAGATGTACACTTAGCACTAAATCTTTTTTTTTCCCTTTTTTTATGAAGTCAGTTCATGGTTGTACTATTAGTAACCTCAGCAAATGGGAAAATAGGTGGAGGCACAACCCTTTTCTTTCAGGAGGAGATGATGTATGGATAGTTTGGGATTACAAAGAATTTCACTTGAAACATTTGTGTTTGGATATTGGCTTCTTCAGCAGTTACAATTTTGAAAATTTCTTTAAAGGATAGTTTGGGACTGTAGATAAAATTTTTTTTTCTGCACAGTTTGAGCTTTCTGAGAAAATTTTACTGAAACTGGGGACCTGGGCTGAAAGAGAATCCTTCAAAATTAAATAGTGGCTGAATAGATAGTGAGAAACCATCCAGAGTACATTAGTGTGCTTGGACTGCCACAACAAAATGCCGCAGACCGGGTGGCTTAAACAACGAAACTGATTTTCTCAGTTACAGAGAGCCTGGCAATCCAAGATCAAGGTGACAGCAGGTTTGGTTTCTCCTGAGGTCTCTCCTTGTTTTGGAAACTGCCACCTTCTTGCTGTCCCTTCCTCTGCATACACATCCCAGGTGTCTCTTCGTCTTATAAGGACACCAGTGCCATTAGATAAGGGACTCACTCTTGTGACTTCACTTAACCTTAATTACCTCTGAAAAGGCCCTATCTCTAAATACAGTCAAAGAAAATTAGAGCTTCAATATAAGTATTTTGGAGAGACACAGTTCAATCTATAACACGATTGTTTACATCTCCACTCTGCCCAGTTGGGGGTGGGGGCAGGGAGACAGGGTGAGACCTGGGACCATGGAGGCATGCTAGGTTGTAAATTGACACACACACACACACACAAGTCTTATCTTCCTCCTAAAGACAAGTATTTACATTCCAAAGAGTAAGAACCCAGGATCTTTCCCAAGGAGAATTTATTTAAATTAAGGAGATAAGATTTATCTTCCTTTCTCTGGAAGAGAGGAGGGCTTCATACAGTTGTACTGTAGGTCCCCAGATTCATATTTTGAGGTTTCTCACCTATAGTACTAACCCTGGTATATGTAGGCTCTCATCAGTCTGATAAGCTGTCATCAACCTGGCTCTTACTGATTACCCAGGTGAGGATTGAAAATTGAAGAGTATAGGAAATCAGTATGGTTATTAAAAGGAATTATTAAATCTGTCCCTGCTCCGGAAACTTTGTATGTACATTCAGTACAATGTGGATAAATGGAACTTAACATGTTTTATCTGATGTTTCTTAAATTTATATTCTGTTTAATTCATATTTTTTGGTTATATTATGGCCAGAGGTCTGGGATTATTAAAACCTGGGTTTTAGAAGCAAGAGTTCTATCTCAAGTGATTGTTTCCTTTTATATTTTCTCCTAGCCTAAATGGGGCAAATTATCCAAGTTATTCAGTTTCAGGTTGTCGACTGAAATAAATGTGCAGGCTAAACGTTAAGAGTTATGTTTTATTTGGAGGGAGGACTCAAGCCGGGATGACAGCCTATCGATTTCTCTGAGGGACTGCTCGGAAGAGGTAGGGGAGGAGCTAGGGTATATAGGAGCTTTCCAACAAAGACCAGATAGTTGGAACAATAAAAGGTTATTTTTATCTAAAGAAAACGAGGCATCTCAAGTTAAAGAATTATGTATGGGAGGAAGCAAACATTTGGGCTCATTGAATTCATTCCTTTGACAAGCACCTAGCTATCTAGGGCCAGTATCCTGTCCTTTCTTATTCTGAGTCCCCTTAGAGTGCACCACTGTGAGTGGCTGCAGAGGCTGGGCTGCAGGCTTGTCTTCCCTGAGGGGTGGCGGCAGCTGTTGATGACTTGAT